ATGCTCAGCAGTATAGTCGAAACATCTTAACAAGAAAATGAGACACAAGTGTCGCCATTCTGTGGTCTGCAGGTGGAAAAATTGTTACTCAACTGAAGTGGTGGATCACTGCGTCTTACACGGCGTCAGTTATTACCAGGTTGTCGCGAGACCCGGGGTTTTCTTCTGATGAGGAAAGTTTATTAGTGAAAGAAAAGCAAACAAACAAACTCGCTGACTTGGACTAACTCTCCTTGTGTCTTCCTTCAGACTCAACGATCATGCAATCGAGGACACGTGCCAGTGTCCACTCGTCGTTCATTCAGCGTGCTCTAAGTCCAAAGCAGCGCAGTGGCGTGAACCTCCTCTTCACTGAAAGGCATCATGACGCGTGCCTTACAGCTTTCACCCTCGCCATTGGTTTCCGTCAGTGCGCTGGCGTGACCATAGCTTGATATACGGCCGTAAACCGGCTGACAGCGCCTCCCAAAGCTTGGTCACGATAGGAACAATGAACTAGTCGAGTTGTCCGCGAATTTCTTCGTCTTCAGCCGTAGTAGCGACGTAGTTGCGAACTTTAACGGGTACGTCCTGAAGTAGCGTAGCGAGCGGCTCCCACGAGTTTTCGATCGCCCGAAGCCCGGCCCAGGCCACCATCAGCTCCCATCGTCCGTATTCTTTATTAAAACGATGATCAACGAATCGTTCGACACCAAGCACCATGCCATGCCTCGAACAGAGTTCCAGTAGCTCCTCCGTAGTGTTTAGAGCCGAGTCAGCATAAAACTTGAAGCATGTACGTCGTAGGCACGTCCCGTCACTAGATGCTTGACTTCGAACGAGTGGGGTAGCGCCTTCACAACCTCGAACGGTCCAACCCATTGCCCTAGAAGCTTTTGATTGGGGAGGCGTTGGTCGATTCGTTACCAAAGCACGAAGTCGACCACATCGAAGTTCACCGACGTGCCTTTGTGAGCTCTCATGTCCTGCAACCGCTTGCGCTCTTTAGTATCGTTCACCTCGCGGTGTAGGTCCCGTAGTGACGTGCGTAGATGGTCCAGTTTGTCGCCCATATCACCAAGTTCAACGACTCGCTCAGCGGAGGTTTCAGTGGCTGGCACAACCAGTACATCCAGCGCTGATGAGGCCGGCAGTCCTGTGAACACTTCGACTGGTGAATGGCC